GTGGATTTTTTAATTAACCTTGCTAATATTCGTAATTCAATCAGAAATCTAATATACTGATCGCCGTGTAGCCCAATTTTGTCTTGATGTTTTTTGAATAAATTTTGCGTTTGTTGAATAGTGGACACTTGTACGCGTAAATCATCAAGCTTATTTTGCAAGTTAATCATCCTGGTCTCATTTTCATTAACAGATTTAATTACATACTGCGTTTTGTGATATTCATTTTGATATGAGCATATTTGTTGTGTTATTGTATCTAGCTGGTTTAGTATTTCATTTTGCTTACTTTTACATTTATTAAGCAATGAAGTTTTAAATTTTACTATATTATCATAATATTTTGCCCGTGGATAATTTCCAACATTTATTGAACCACGTATACAATTATCTAATCTAAATACATATTGTTTATACTTTGCAATATTAGCTTGATTCTCATCTAGATCATTATGTTTATCAAGTATACTAATTTCTAAATTTTTAATTAATTGATCTAGTTGATTTAAATTTTCTAAAAAAATAAATTAAATTAATATTTAATTTTTAGAAATATGTTTAAAATTTTACCTTGTGAATTATCAAACTTAACAAGCAAACTTTGCTGTTCATGGCAACATTTATCAAGTTGCTTTTCAACTAGTACCATTTGATCTAATATATGTAATGCTTCAGCACCAGGTATTTCATATATAACTTGGGATTGTTTTATAAAATTATCAAATGCAACATGCTCATGTCGATTAATACCATCTAGATTTTCAATTAATTTAGCCAAACTAACTGGAAAACGTTTTTGTGCATATTTAGCTTGATAATAACAAAAATAATAGTAATAATTATAATTTAGGTCAATTATTTTAAAATAATAGTTTACCTCTATCATTTTCAATAATTGTTGGTAATTTAAGTATATTTTGAGCAAGATTATATATAGTTGAGAAACTACTTCTAATTAATTGGCGACGGTGAGCCTCCTGGATTAAACACGCGTTTCCTATGTCAATAATCTATATAAAATTAATTAAATTTTTAAAATTGTAAATTATTTGCATTATTAAAGTATTGAGAAACTACTTCTAATTAATTGGCGACGGTGAGCCTCCTGGATTAAACACGCGTTTCCTATGTCAATAATCTATATAAAATTAATTAAATTTTTAAAATTGTAAATTATTTGCATTATTAAAGTAATATTTATAATGAGTATGATCTGTAAGTGGTCACCTTTATCTTTTATTAGGCCTGTAAATGACATAAAAACCTACTTTCGTCATACACATTTTTATTTTCCTATCTCCTCGTCCCCTCCACGTCCTCCCTCCCCTGACATTATCTACAATTTCCCACTTTTCACAAATTCATTTTACATTAATACAAATTACAATTGTAATGATGATAACATATGGATAGACCAGTGATGAATAAACAAGAAAATATATTTCAAACTGTAATTGTAGCACATAATGTATGTTAATGTGGGTTAATGCTACAATTACAGCTTGAAATGTATTTTCAAGAGTTTATTCAGCACTGAGCCATCCATATAATTTTATAAATTATCATTAATCACCGATAAATGAATTAAAATACAATAAATCATGTCACAATTATTTATTCTTATAAGCAAACTTTACATTGCTCACGATTAAAGTGTAGAAAGTATTGAAAAGTTGCTAGTAAGATTCAATATTTGTAAGATTGGATTTGATATAATTTAATTCTAATATCTATAATTTATTGAATTATAATTGATTCTATAATCGAATTACTATAAATGTGGATTTTATAGCATTGCTTAAAAACCTTGTTTACAGCGTAAATGTGGGTAAAAATTATATTAAATTCTTAATAGAATCGAGACATTGACAGCTTACATTTGTTTTCCAAAAATATGCTTGCTCATCATTTTTATAATGCGGTACATATTGAGCCACAATATACACAGAACTGACAAGTTTGTCAAAACATTGCAACGAATGTACGACTGCCTTAATTTCATTTAAGTAGGTATGAGATGTAGCGAGAACATTTTTGCACATTTTAAAATTTGTCCAATCTATTTGACTAGACTTATGAATACCATTTTTATTCAGTGGCACCAAACTAGTTATTAAAGTATGATTTGCATCCATATTTTTAGAAAATATATTAAATAAAAAAATTAAATATAGCAAATATAAAATATAAGTTATTTTATGTTTAATAAGATATTTATAAATTATTGACATTTAATATTTTCTTATTAATTAATGATTACTTTCATTGTCTAACACAATTATCAAAACACTTAACAATTATCAGTATTAGTGTTATTTACTTTTAATTATTTTTTCCTAAAGTTTAACCAATAATTATAATATTTATTTACAAATTATATAAAATAAAACATATAAATAGATACTGTATATTATTCATATATAACTTTACATATAATTGTAAATCACTGAACATTTGAAAAATAATATTTATATTAGTGCATTTAAATTATAAATTAACATACAAGGCCACAAATAAAGATATGACTAGTTAAAACCAGTTGCAACCAGATTAAACCACATGATTATTGTTATAAATGATAAGTTTGAATATAATTCATATAAATGTAAATAAACGATATCAACCAGTTTACCAAAACTATAACCAACTTTTTTACTGTGTAATGTGGCTAAAAATATCATATTATAGCCAAGATCTAATAGGCTAATAGCTAAGATTTATGTTCAAAGGTTGCATCCATTAGATACGAAACTACTTGAAACGTTTAAATTTAATATAATACATTTAATACATATAGTTTGACTTTTGTAGCTATGCTATGAAATAGAGTAAAAGCGCCATATGCAAGCTACGTAAATTTAATTTTGTCTGAAATTTAACCCATCTGCTCAACCTAGTAACCAGACTCACGTATTAGAACATTAACATTGTTAGAACATGGGCTGCTTGGTTAATTAATTGTTAAGATTTAAATTAATTTATTCACAAAGATAATAAATGGTCATTAATATTGGTTGCTTGGTATTGCTCTGTAAATGTTATGATTATCAATTAATTAATAATTAGTTCTCATTTACATCAATAAGTACTCGTGAAAGGGTTAATTGTTTGATCACTAAATGGGAGGACCCTTATCACCAATTTGGCGCCGTATAGGTTGACAATAACGCCAACTCAGCGATTATTACGATAGAGTACTCCATATAACATATAAAAACATATATTTTCGATTATTGAACATATATATCGTACTAGTATATCATAATAAAGCTACTCGGATTAAATTATTTTTAAAATTAAATAATATTACAAACAAAAAGTACCCGCCTTATACCGGTAGTTACAGAAATTATACCTTAATTGATTATTAAAAGAACATTTTTGTTGACAGCTAGCAAAATGTCGCGTTTGTGGGACGATGATGAACCGGATGAAATCGTCGAAATGAGTATTCAGCCGCTGCCCCGGCACCAACTAGTGGAAATGGCCCCCGATCAGCTAGTGGAATTTGAGGGTAAACAGCAAGAGTCAATGATCCGCCAGACCCTCCAATTTGCGGACCAAATGAAATCTTGCGAGAAAATAGTTGAGGCCGCCTATACGGTGGCCGATTATACCCCACCCTTTCAAAATGATCTTCAAAGTCAGTTTTGGACACAAACTGTGAGTTAAACTTTAATAATTTATAGTTATAATTAATAAAAACTTTTTGTTACACTATTATAGTCAAAATATTTTATAATTACTCCATACTATAATTGCTCCCTCAAGGGCCTAAAACCGAAAAAGTTTAAACTCAAATAGCAAACTGACCTGTGGATATATTTTAAATTTAATGAGTAGACGTGTCTAACCTAAGCTACCCTAAATAAAATTAAGTCACATGAATTAATAGTAAAATTTAATGTTTCGTTTAATTTAAATTATATTTAAAAATATAAACTTTAGTAATCCGACAAACAACTGCGGTTTTATACAATTTTTATTAATTAGTGTTATTCGGAATTAAAATATTATTTCATATTAGTAAAATGATTTGCTGTAAATTATCCAGTTAATACCAATATTGGTGAAAAGCCTAAAACAGGACGCGTTTGCTCGGTCGACAATAACTAAAAGTTTTGGCTCCATTCGAGACCTGGCTATCACTATTCAAAGTGTTTATCAAATTGTTAAGCAATCTAAAGGTAAGATTAGTGTATTGACTATGAACTATGACATTAAGTCACATGGCACATCAAGTGGCATAAGTAAATTGAGTGGTTTTAATTGTTATAATTAATTAACCACTAACTAGTAACATTTTATAAAGATAAAATTGGAAAATTAACTAAATATTAATACGTGATACTCAAAATTCATATTGCAATTAAAATTATTTCAATGAACATTATATATAATACAACGGTATGTGCAGTCAAAGCAATATAATACAGGGATGACATTAAAGGACTCCCCTACTTTAAATTAAAATAATTTTAATATCATGCAGTTTATTTAAATATATTTATTACAAAATTGTAGCCGGATAGTTAGGATTTTGTTTGGTATATAACTTGTCCAGGTATATATTAATCAAAATTTTTTACAAGGGGTATAATTTTAAACATGCAAAATTTTTTGTACTTTTTATGCAATTCATACTTATATGTTCA